ATATACAACATACATGAATATTGTGATGTTCCGTAGATTCATAAAAAGTTCTGGTAGTGTGTCAGAAAACCAGAATCCACATTAAGTCCCTCCTTTATGGCATTGAAATGTAGAATCATTTTCATCTCAAATGTTTTCCTTTCATGAGAGTTTTTTAAATTCCCTTTCAGTACTTTAATTTTGAGGTTGTAGATGGAGTGATCCTTCTGGGAGAAGTGATGTCCTACTGGAGTACAATATTCATTCTCTTTGTGGTTCTTGATCGAACTCCTGTGTAGGTTCATCCTGAGATGCAGCTTAAGGCTACTTTCCCCAATGTAACAACCATTGTCACATGCTGAACACTGTATCATGTACACCCTTGGTTCTCAACTGGTGGGTGGTGACGCCACATGCCCTCCACTTTTCTAGGTGAGAGGATCCTCGTCCTCCCCTTAGAGAAGCACTGTCAGTTCTCGCACCAAGCAGCCATTCAAAAATATGATGCCCGGTGCCGACGGTCGACTTGAGGTGGAGCTATGGCCGCGAGGGAGCTCCATCTATACGTGCATTGCTTACAGCTCATAACCTTCTGGCACCTCTACGGGTACGCACGGGAGCTTTACAAGCAATACACATATGGATAGAGCTCCATCACAGCACAGCAGCCCACACTGGACCACAGGTTGAGGATCCACTCCAATTTCCGTAATGGCAACACCTAAACGCACCACCCACCCACAGTTCAATCGCCTGCACCGGAAAGCGCAGTACTGCAACAGGAAACATTGCAGTGCAACTTGGGTCGCGACTTAATGACCGAGGACAAATGTGGGTCCCGAGGTTACACAGTTTGAGAACCAGTGATGTACACCACATTAGCAGATGTGCATGAGTATGACCCCTTAATGGTGTACGCTTTGTTATTGTGACTCGCTGTATTTCTGTCATATATATGTTGACAACGTTTGCAGCGGGGTTTATTGCATTGTACTGTGCCGTTCTGTGTAAGCATCTGTTCTGGGGTCAGCTTACTGCGTACCAATCTTCTTCTCAGGTTCAGTGGTTGCTTGAAAGCCAGTATTGGGGGCTGAGGGAATATTTATTTAAGAATGGGGTCTTCTGAGAGTACTGGCTGTAGGTCTTTGATTATTTTATGTATTACCTCTAGAGTGGGGTTGTAGGTAACTACAAGAGGGCTCCTGGTTGGGTTTTTCTTCTCTTTGTACTGTAGGAGTCTTTCCCGTGGTGTTCTTAGGGCAGATTTAATTTTTTCAGAAATAGTCTTTTCCCTATAGCCCTTTCGCCGAAATGCATCAGCCAGTGTGCTCAGGTGTTTGTCTCTGTCCTCAGTGTCAGAGCAAATGCGGTGGTATCGATTGCTTGGCTGTAGACAGGGCCGGCCTTTGAGGTGTGCAGGCTGTGCGGTCGCACAGGGCGCCATAGCAACATGGGCGCCTGGCGACCGGCACAGATTCTGTCCCAAAAGGTCTTTAATAATCGCTCCCGCCGGGCGCGGCGCCCTTCCGTGCGGGCGCTTGACGGATCAGCTGTCGGCTCAGCCAGGCAGCACAGCAGTGACAGTGTCACTGGCAGTCTATGGATGACTCATTAAGATGGCCGCCGCTCGGCGACAGCGCGGCGGCCATCTTTAAAACTGGACAAAGTACTGGCAGGCCACAGGCGGATTCTGCCAGAAAGACGGCGTGGGCTTAGGTGGTGTTATTATACCATGTGATTTACTTTATATGTGGTGTTATTATACCGTGTGATTTACTTTATATGTGGCGTTATTATACCGTGTGATTTGAAGTATAGGTGGCGTTATTATACCACGTGATTTACAGTATAGGTGGCGTTATTATACCGTGTGATTTACAGTAT